ACTTGTCATTAGTGGCATTAACATTACGCATTTGTCATTCGTATTCGTATTCGTCACTATCAGTGCTACTACATTCATAACAGTATTGCCATCATTGTCATCATCGAGATGGCCATCATGATTATCATTACCCACATAACTATACTTGCCAAGAATATCAAGACCATTAATGTTATTAATATCATAATCGTCATTATTGTAGATATTTCTAGGTCCTAATTCTGGTGCTTAGCGCAGCAGCAATAGCGGTGCATGTGCTGGCATTTGTGCTTCCTATACTCTTCATGCAGCATCTGGACAGCGATCAGAAGATGCATTTCGTGCGCACGATGCTTTATCTGAAGAACCAACTGTTTGCATTTGCCTTACTGTTTGCCTTCGTTGAATTTCTCGATTTCCTCACCGTGCATCATTTATTCGGCCCCTGGGCTATTATCATTCGTGATCTCATGTACGATCTAACCAGGTCATTAGCAAATCTCACTTCTTCAACCTCAGATTTACTTTTTAGACTAAGAATTCATGCATCAGGGAATAGAGGTGTCAGAGTTTGAATCAGAATATCTTGCAAGCGATAAATGCACTAGAAAATGGTCTGAGCAATAAAATATCTAAAAACTTATCCAAGGCAAATCTACCGCTAGTTATCGTGAAAGTCCAACGAGAAGCCGCCACTTGTTAATCTGTATCGCCTAACAGCCTGGTTACCGCAAAGAGTGCAGTAACCAGGCTGTTAGGCGATACAGATTATGTGTGGAGGTTCACATATATGTCCTAAAATTGGGTTCCAGCTATTGGAGCAGACGAATAAGGGCCAGTGTTGTAGTAGTTAACACGTGTCCGAATGTGAAGACGAGGGTTTCGATCTCCTTCCAGTCCACATCTGTTTGCAAAAGGAGCGTCATGTGCTAAAAATTTAAGGGTTTCTTGAGAGGCGAACTGAGGATCGCTTAACTCCCCGACACATTAGGCAGGTTAGTACTATGATACAACAAAACAGTTCACATTCGTGCTACTGATGTTAACGTAAGATTGCTTATTTTCTTAAGTTGTGAGATCGTTGTATCTAAATCATAGGTACACCACATCTATAAAAATTTGCATGCTTGGAGCGCATAACCAGTCCAGCTTAATAACAGTTTGAGTTTTTGAATTAATTTTTTGTTGACATTTCAGGTTTCTTGTGATATTACTGCTCTTCATCGCTGGTTTCACGTTACATGTAACCTCCATTTTTCAGGTAGTATTTTGTTCCACTTTGCTGCATTATTTTTGTTCCCCTTGATCAGGATCCATTATTAGATTTTAAACTTTCTTGTGCCTTGTGGGTCCCTACAACGCCTTTCTGGCTTGTACACGTTACCTTTTCGAGGGCCACTCTCTTCGGAATCTTCTTTTCACGGGTACCATTCGCTAATGCGGAACGTCCACTGATTATCGGCAAGCGAATAACGTGCCTTACCCATTGGATTTTACTTCCTTGCATGACTGCAGTGACATCCTGCGATCTGCTCATTTGGCGGAGAGTCGAGTTATTTAAAAGAGACACGCTTGGCACGCTCCGTTTGATTCCTGTCTCCGCAACAGAGAACATTCGCTGTTCAACTTTCGTCAGTGACACGTTTTACATCCGTTGGTCATTGCGTTCAACTGTGACTCAAAAAAAAACGTACTTAATCCGGTTAAGCTTGAATGCTACAGTCTTATGGGGTAAGCAGGTAATGTTCGTACGGAATCGTACTAAGGGAAGTTTGTGAGATCATGAAGCGCGAAAGCAGTAGGCTTGATAGGAGCATTTTCGCACCGTTATGTCTCACCGTTTCTATAGAACGTGTAAAAGAAATGGATTTCTTTTTCACGCTGACTGCAAGTTTTTAGCCAGCGTACCAGCCGGCAAATGCGGATGACGGGCAAGTAATGCGTTTGGCATCGCCCGAGCAAACGCTCGAGATGCTCTTTTTTTCACTGTTCGGATTGGTGGAGCCGGACACAATGCCACCACTGCATCTGGTGCCCGATTTTGCTAAAATTATCCTCAAACTGATATTCGGCATTTACCTTCTCGTCACTCTAATCGTGAGTCATTTTCTAGTTCCTAGTTACCTTAGTTAAATGCTTATGGGAAAATGAACTAAATAAGAGAATCAGGGGAAGAAAGATGAGGATGAGGGATGGCTCAAGGAAAACAGGAGGTTAAACGGAAGAGCGGACTACAAGTTTTATTTCAGGAATGCATTTGTATGGTTACTCTAGTTTTTCGCTACCATATTTTGTGGCAGGCATTCTCGTTCAGTTTCTTTTCGGAAATCATTTCTTCCATATTTCCTTCGATTCTACGTTAGTTTTGAGAGTGAGAGAGCTAGGAAGAAATTTTAACTTTGACTTGACAAATCAGGTTAGTCTGTGAAAGAATCAGGTCTTTCACAGATATAGGGGTCGAATAGTGCTGATCAACAGCCTTGGTAAAATATTCCCTCGAAACTTATCAAATTTACCTTTGACAAGTATTTTCTGTTTTTTCAGAAGTGAAATATGTATGGTACCTCGGGTTTTTTAATTTTTGCTGTCTTTTTAAACTCTTTTTTAAGAGGAGTGTGAATGAAAAGATAGATTTTTTTCATGAGCCGAACAAAGTGCACTAGACCACAGAGATTGTGACGCTTCATGGAAATTTCCTCCTTTTCTAGACTGAACCGATTCCAGATTTTTTTTTATCCGCTCCCTAACGAAAAAACTTGATAGCTGTCGCGGAAATCTAGCGAAAAATCGACAACTTTTGAAATAATGTGCTGCACAGATGCAACAGCAAGGCGATACAGAGTATGTATATATTCAGAACGTAGGTGCTCCAACAGGCGCATGAGTACTTGCGCCGGTGGAGCAGTGTTCTAGCACGTCATGTTCAAATGTGAAGACGACTGTTTTGAGTCGCTTCCAATCCATAACCATTTTGAAAAAGGGATGCCAGCGAGAATCGCTGTTCTTCGTTTTCAGTTCTCCTGTGCTTCTACAAAGTTCCCCACACAAACAAATTATTCCAATGCAACAGAACCTGCGATAATGTTAAATCAGACTTCAGGTTCTAATAAATTTACTGATTGCTATGATGTCCGATACGTATCAGCGAATCCAAGCACAATCGGATAAGGAATGGAAATTTGGGCGGGCAATACTGATCCGACAAATG